TTTTGTATTTCTTTTATTTTTCCTGGTAGTTCTTGGCGGAAATCACGGTAGAAGACGTTACACAAGGTAACTGATATTTAGACAATCTCATAAATAGATTAGTTTGATTAAGTATATTTCCTATTACTTGTTCCATAGAGGTAAAATTGAAAATCTTTCAAATCATGTAGTATGTGTAAAAGTTTCCCAAAATAAAATTCCAATTGCAAATTCATATTGACTAGAGTTAAGGCCCAAGGCCCAAAATGAGACCAGACACTTCTCGTGCACTCGACTCTTAGAGCCAACATCATGCGAACAATGACCACCACCTCCACCTGCCACGGCGGAGCGCTCGCGCCGCACCGCCCACCGCCGCCGCTTCGTTGTACCTATCCTCCTCATCCGGTTCTCCGGCGACCTTACGGCCGCAGGCACAGTTGGAAACCGATGCGAACAACAACAGAGGTCACTGGAAAACGCATGCCAAGTGCTCGAGCAAATGCCAAAGCGACGAGCCAATGGGATGAGGAGCCGCACGAAGCTTCTGAATATGGAGGACAGTATTCTCTGGACGAGCTAGATGTGGCGACTTTTCTCGATCCTCCGAAGCCGCTCATCCCGCTGGATCCTTCTTCGTTCAACCCAGCTTCTTATCTCTGGTTGGTGCTTGTAAAAATAAAAAATAATATTCTATAAAGTATTCATACTAGTTGTTTGAAGCTTTTTATGGTAGATTAGTTCTGTTGTGTTGAATATTTGGACGAGTGATCAGTTTAATGCTGTAAGTAAACCCGAGTTTCAGACAAGAAGAGAAGGAAAACTGTTATCTTTTTTTTTTTTAATGTTTTTTGGATAAATTATTTGAAGCTAATTAGGTTCGGAATGCGTTTTTGTAGTTCAAATGCGGAAACAATAGGAGGAAGATGTTTAAACATTGTTCATTTGCTCAAGAAGTGGCTATTGTTGTGAATTTGCTTGTGTGTGGCATGTGTAAATCGGTGTTCGTCTATTGTAGGAAAAAGATCGAGAACATTCCAGAGGAAAGGCGGCATCACTTGCTTTCCCTGCTAAATCCGAGGTTCGTCTATTGTTTCCTGAATTCACGCATATAATAGAAGTAAAACCAAGTGATTAATTTGACATTTCAAGATAACCGAGTCACTTGTTCTGCGATTTACTTTTGTTTGCCGAGTCATATGCTAATCAAGATTTCGTTTTTACATTCTTCTTTTTCCTGGGTTTATTATAGGCTTGTATCGAGAGCTTGGGAGGTGGCAAGAAGACGATATGATAATCCTAAGTTAGTAAAGAAAAGGGCATCTCGCATGCTATCTGATGGAAATCGTGCAGTGTCACTTGAGTTGTGGAGATGCCAAACAAGCGGAGGTGAATTACTGAAAATGTGCAAGAATATTAATCTGATTCGGTTTGCTTGTCCTACGAAGATGTGTCTCATATATTTTATTCAAATGTGATTTAAGAATAATTTCCTTTTCAATTTGTGCTGTACAGCGCCACTTCCAGTTGCCTGGATGAAAGCATCCCAGAAGGTGAAAGTTCTTGTTTTTGGCTGTCCATGCTGTATGTTGCCCACACTAAATTTCCTATTCTATATATTGATTGGTGGATTGATGGGGTTTTTTCTAGTGTTTTGATGATCGATTTAATGCTGAAATGCAATTTCGGTGCTTTCGTTCTAGGTAATATTTCGCTGCACGGATGGGAAAGCCTACGGACGACTTATTGGTACATTCATTTATTAACTGCTTAGTTAGCTTCATGAATTATGCTTCCCTCGATGCAGTTTGAATGTGTTGTGTAGAAAGGAACATAAATTTTGCTTATTTGTATTTGTATAATATATTTATTGCCAAAATCTAAGAGGAGTGTGCTCGTTTGGGATTTCTGAAGACTTTAGAAATCCTTGTGTATTCAATTTAGACTTTTAAAAGTCGAGAATTTAAAATATCTTACAAAATCAAAAATCATGAGGTATTTAACTTATTTGAGACTATGATTTGCTAAGACTTTTCAAGATTTGCTGGGATTCCAAAAGAAAAAATCATATAAGAAATCCCACTCCAGATCCTACCTCCAAACCTAAGATATCATAGAATTCATCATAAATTTGGAAATCTTTAAAAAGCCTCAAATCTCAAAGTCGCAAAATGTCAATTGAAATCCCAAACGAATACAATCCCGACTAATTCATTGTCACGTTCTTTCCCATTTTAATGAAATTCATCACTTTTCATGCCCATTAATACATTTGTATTTTATCTTCCGTGAATGATGATTTTTGATGTTCTACCTTTGGTGGTTTATTTACTCCTCCAAACTCTCTAACTAGGCTGCATCATTTGGTGTGCAGACTCTAATCCCATGTCGGGAATAATGAAATCCGTCAGCCCTTTGTACTTCAGTGTGAGAGATATCAATGAGGTTATGTCGACTGAGCAGCCTTGTGATCTGGCTTATGAATTTGGAGATGGACTTTTGGACCTTCCTGAATATCCTCAAGGATTCCCTAAACCAGGTAGCAAATTCACCTCCATCCCACTTTTTTTTTTGTTTTTTTTGTTTTTGCTTTTTTTTGTTTTTTTTTGTTTTTTTTTTTCATATGTGGCATTAACTTGTTCGGATAGTTACAAATATCACACTTGAGGTTCGCCAAATTACACGCGATGCCGAGTTGCCTTTCGTGATTATGATGTACGAATAACGTCTCGGCAAATTTTGTAATTTCACAAAGTTTTGTTTTTAATTTTTATTTATATTTTTTTTTTCAGCAAAACATCCGTGGCCGCTGAACGATCAAGTTGTTATATATATACGGCACGTGGGCCCGGGGGTGATGGTGGGGCAAGCATGGCAAGAGGGTAAAGAGCTTCAACAAGTGCCCAAGAAGCTGTGTAATGAGATTCTTATGGTGAAAGATTATTTGGTCAACAACAAGCAGAATTGAAAAGGATACATATATGGCTTCTTACAAAAGTTTGTGAATTATGTAGTCATTTTTGTGAAGTTCATGAGTCTCTAGTTTGTTGTGATGATGTACCTTGACCGAGACTTTATATGAAATGTGACTATTAATATTATCATCTCAATGTATACAAGAAATAATAAAATTGGAATTAAACGGGTATTTAGATAAGCTTAATCAAGGTCAAAATTGCTACTTAAAATTTAGCACAAACATAATTCAAACTTGAAGTCAACTTGTGGTAAAATTTAGCACAAACATAGTTCAAATTTGAAGTCAACTTGTGGAGTAAATAGGTTTTAACTTTTAACTTTTAACCCCGCAAGCCTAAGGAGGTGATTGTTTACCATTTGTACAGTAATTTTTTTTATTCAAATTCAAATTTAACTCAACTTTAACTCAACCACACTATCTTCAATATTATTATATAATTAAATAACATCAACAAATCATTATTACATATCACATCAACTTTAACTCACTATTCATCTACTCACATAATTTTAACTAATTTTAACTAACTATCACTTCCAATCATTTTCTCTTATTTTTACATCAAATCAACTTTAACTATTTTATTTTAAATACTATTTTAATATATCCACTAACAACTAATCATACCACTTTTTCTTAAACTTAACCATAATTAAAAAATTCTAGATTTTTACTATTCAAAACATAAACAATCACCCCTTAAACGAGACAAACTCAAGTAAGTCGAAAATAGTTCTTGTCTTAAAATTCAAAGTTTTAAAAATTGAATTGTTGGAGTTGATTATGGTTGGAATCAAAACTGACGTGTTTTTGTAGATATTCGATGTTTGTTTTTAACCCCTGATCTGAGAATCTTATAGCTGTTACAAGATCAACGATCGAGATTCACCAAATCTAACGGATCGATTAGTTACAGACCATACAAGATCAACGATCGAAATTCACTCAATCCAACATATCATTTAGTTATGGATCTGTCGAGGGGTTGGATTTGTAAGGGTTGAAATTCAACTGATTGATTAGTTATGGAACTTACAAGATAACGATCGAGATTCACCCAATCCAATGAATTGATTAGTTATTGAATTGTCACGGGTTGATCCGGTGGGTCGGACCTGAACAGATGGATTCCGGCCCTTGCCACGTGTGCTGGTTGGTGGATAATAATAAGAAAAATGCAAAAACAAAGACTAAAAAATAAAAATAAAAGAAAAGAAAAAAATCAAATAAAATTAGGATTGGTGGCCTGAGATCTAGGAAAACCCAATAGCTTTTAGGAGAACTGTCGGTGCACCATAAAACTACACACAGTAGAGGTGTCTCTATGTGCACCCATCTATAGATACAGACGCTCATATCTATATGCCAATTCACAATTACACACCCATGATTACTAATTTATTTAATTAATTATTATTATCATCAATCAAATGTCACGAATGATTATTACTAATTTTTGTAATAATTACCACTGTTTCCTTTAATTAGTAAATAATAAAACAGTGTATTTCATAAACATATATTTATATGCCAATACACAATTACACACCCATGATTACTAATTTTTCTAAAATTATTATAATTATCAATCAAAAGTGATGATTTTTGTAATAATTACCACTATTTCCTTTAATTAATAAATAACAAAACAGTGTATTTTTTAAACATATATTTTAACACAGAACCTGAAAACAAGGCAGCAAAAAAGGGAGCGTCTTTTCCATAGAGATATTAAAAAAGCACACTCTCTGCAAACAGTGAGAAGCTGAGATCTGCATCAATGGCTGTTGATCCGAGGCAGGTACTGGCCGGCGTGTTGACGATGACGATGTTCGTGATGCTCGGGAACATGATTAAGCGCGACCACTTCGATTCTGCCCACGTACGACGTTCTGAAAAGTGTCTGCATTTATTCATCTGCTAATGTTGTTTGTTTTGCTTGTTCGATTTATGGGTTTGGTGTTTAATTAGCCTTTGTTGTTCACCGTTAGCTGATTTGAGCGTATGTTCAGTAATATGTATGTGTGTGTGTGTGTAATCTGATATTTTTGGAGCTTTTCTGCTCGATCTTCAATCTTTATTAGTTCCGATTTGTGGTTATAGCATTGAATGCTAAGTCCTTTAGTTCTGATCTGAATTTGATGAGCTGATTATTCGCGTTTTGTCGTTTTATTGTTGTGGTTGGGCATTTAGTGATTTAAGGGACTGATGATTATGGCAAAAAGCTTTGATTTCTGGAGATTTTAATTTTATTGTATCTTCCATTTGAATGGTCACTTGTCATTTATGTTTATGTTTTGATCTTCTCTTTTGTTTGGATATCAATGAGAAAGAAGGGTTGATTATTTATGATATATAGCTGACAATCATTTTGTTGTTTCTTGTGTTTTCTGTTATCCATTTTTTCCCCTTTCCAAAGCCAGCTGTTCACGACACGAATAAGGCTTCGAAGAACGGTCTTGTTAGTTTCGCGGAAGGGGCAGATGAGTCTCGGAAAGAAGATGGCTTAGCCTTAAAATCATGCTGGCAAAAGCCAGTCTTGGGTTAGTGCAGTTATTTTTTTAATTTTTTTAATTTTTTTTGGTAGTGTATGTTTATTCTCATGCGCGTATCTCACTCTTTTTGCTCACAGAGGAAACCGAGGAATCGCAAGGTTTTGTCACATTCTCATTAACGAATGGTCCAGAGTATCATGTCTCTCAGGTAATTCGGTTTGTGGTATCCAACACTTCTATTTATCAGTTGCCGAGCATTTTTTTTCCGTTATTAGTTCAATTTTCAAACTTGAAAAAAGTTACAGAAGAATCGATGGCAATCTTATATGTGTATGCTTGCTCTGTGTTAATATTCTACTGCTGTGCTCAATAGATGTGCCAGCTTATACACTGGATAAATGCATCTCATCTTGTACTTCAGTTTTACTTTTCCCAATTCAGTTCGAGAATTTTGGAAAGGCATGAAAAACAGGAAAAGATTAGCCAGCCAAATGTCATTGTGAACAACTATAATATTTTTTTTTGGTGCTTATGTAGTTATTCCTTAATCTATGCTCATGTTGACTTACTCGCCTGACTTTTCCACGGATGTGCCTGCAATTTTCCATTTCAAACATTTTGACCAATTTCTGTTAATTATTTTGTTCAGATTTCTGATGCAATAGTGGTTGCAAGATATCTACGTGCAACACTTGTAATCCCGGACATCAGAGGAAGCAATCCCGGAGAGAAAAGGTTCGATAAAGGCCTTTTCGAGTAAAAAATATTCGTTGGGGATTCTAGGATGTTATGTAATAAACCTATGGCTGTGGGGTCATTATAATTTTTTAACTGTAGTCTAACTTTTACTTGTTCATTTGTTGATCTCTTTATAACTCACCCGAAACTTTTTCAGTAACTTTGAGGACGTATATGATGTTGAGAAATTCATATCGAGCCTAGAAGGTGTGGTCAAAGTCGTCAAATCGCAGCCTGTTGAGTTATCAGCTCGTAACCTTGCAGTAGTTAAGGTCCCTAACCGGGTTACCGAAAGACACATAGCGGAAAAAATCGAGCCAATTTTCAGGACCAAAGGGAACGTGAGGCTCGTCACTTACTTTCCGTCTGTCAACATGAAAAAGAATAAAGAAAAGAGCAACTCGGATGACCTTGCATGCTTGGCAACGTTCGGGACCTTAGAACCTCAAGTGGAGGTTCGTGAAGTCATTGACTCAATTATCGACCGCCTGAAAACCGTCAGTCGGAAGTCAAACGGGCAGTTTGTGGCCATTGACTTGAGGGTTGACATATTGGAGAAAAAGGGGTGTCATAAAAGCGAGGGCTTGGGATCTAAAAGCTGTTATGGTCCACAAGAGATTGGTCTTTTCTTGAAGAAGATTGGGTTCGAGAAGGACACTACTGTGTACGTGACGCAAACAAAATGGCACAGTAGTCTCGACGCTCTAAAGGACTTCTTCCCGAAAACGTATACCAAGGTAAAGTTTACATGTTGATGCAGATTCTTAGGTTTGGTAAACCTAGCTGATACGCTAGCTTAAAGTTGATAAGTGAATTTCGAGCTTATAATTGATAGATTATTTATGACTGAAAAACTAGCTTATATTGATAAAAGTGTTCGGTAAATTTAGCTGATAAGTTAGCTGAAATAAAAAATTCAATGGACATATTTGAAAAGCTACCCAATGAAGTTTATGGGATAAGCTCGAGCTTTTAAAAAAAACTTGTCCTAGCTTATTTGAATACATGAAGTTTATAAGCTAATCAAATAAGATATAAGCTAACTTATATGCTTATCAAACACAGCCTTAGTGAAAACGAAACATTTTTGTCCATCCAATTTCAGTGATTTTTCAATTACATTTTTTTTTTTAATGTCACCTAACTTTCCCTTTCGTTTGTGACTATTTTTAGGACTCTATAATGCCCATGGAGAAAAAGGACAAGTTTCTAAACTCAGATACTTCAGAGTTTGAGAAGGTGATCGACTACTACATTTGCTCCGAGAGTGATGTTTATGTTCCGGCCATATCCGGTCTGTTTTACGCCAATGTTGCTGGAAGAAGAATAGCTAATGGGCGGACTCATATTCTTGTTCCGGAAAATGTCCCAACTTCTTCTGCCGATCCTAAGGATTTCGTATCTCATTACGTTACGAAAAAGAACCACTTTGCATATTCGTGTTTTTGCTAGTTCAAAGAAAATGGAATGAGATAAATTTTTCTCATACAAAATTGTTTGGCAAAAATGTATTATTGATTTACTGCATTTGATTTACTAAAAGAGATCTCTGTGTTTTTTTTATTCATTTTCATTTTTTCTATGCCTGAAGGGAGTTTTTGGTAGGCTTGAAGACTTAAAGTAAATGTAATGTAATAGTTGGATGTTTTTTAATTTGTTGTAAGTAGTGTCAATTAATATTTAATTGAGTTAATTATGTGTATTAAATTATTTTTAGAAAGAGAAAAAAAAAAGTAAAGAATTGTCATGCTAATTTGATATAGAAATAGATATATGTAGGAGATATGTGCGTCTGCGGAATGTGTATTCAAAGACTTGCTATTGCTAAAACATACTGTGTACAAGTAATAAAAGCTATCTACAAATTATACGATATTAATTATCAAAATACTTAAAAATAAAAAACTTCAATGGAATCCGAATTCACCAGGCAAACATGCTATGGTACACTTTAACATTTTTCTTTTTTTATAGTTTTTGATAGTCAGTATTTTTACTGCCTGCTTCTTGCTTCGAATTTTCCGGGGGAAATTGGATAAGTAATCGTCATATTCATGAACGATAAAATATACGAAAATTTTAGGTAGAGTTGCGTGCTTTACGAGAAGCAATCAGTCGCTGGTACGGCTTTACGAAGACCTTTGCTAGTGGTGTCTTTGGAACTGGAATGAATTTACCAGCAACAGCAAGAGGCCAGCTGAATAACAAATATTGTGAAAAAAAAAAAGTTAAAAAAATAAAAATAAAAAATCCGCACAAATTCTAGTAAAACTCAAGTTCCGGAAAATTCATGATGATGCACGAGCAAGACGAACCTGACGAGCCCAATTACAAGGCAAATTATCCACAGTTTCAAGTCCAGCTTAACAGTGGAGGTGAACTTTCCAAGGAAATTGACGATGATTATCTAGCGAAAGAGGAATGTACGTGTTAAAAAAAAAAAAAAAAAACTGCGTTGTTCAATCCATAAAAATGCGTTAAATATGTTGTGCAATGTCATCACCTGAAGTACGAAAGTAGTCCCCACTATTCCAGTGAAGAGCGGGTTCTTGGTCACCCCTGTGAAGACATTCAACTCCTCTGGTTTACGAGCATTGAACTCGTTGAAAATCTGTAAGCCGCAAGGAAGAATTGGGTTTTGATTATTCATGTAAATTAGTCAAATTTCTTAGGCTAATTTGTTCAAATTAAATTGTACTCACTTGGCAGAGAACAAACGCGTTGAATACTACAGTATTTTTCACCATGTTGGCATGTTCTCTCTGGCTAGTATTCAAGTTAAGAATTTTAATGCCGGAAAAGTTGAGAACAAGGAGGACTGCAACTTGATATATAGCCTGAAGTTATTAAAAAAGGAATGATTGAGTTTGCATAAATAAACAGTCGAAAGAAAGCAGTCAAAAGGAAAACGCAAATTTTCATTAGATTAAAAGGTAAAATACCTGGATAATCAAGTTCCTCCACATGATATTTGTAACAAGCGGCTCCCTGTAAGATTTACGAACAATTAAAAAGAAAAAAAGAAAACCATAATCACAATATACAGATGACAAAACCTTCTAGTTTAGCGTGCGGTTTTATATACTGTGTCCAGTTCTAACAGCAGCTATATGGGAAACGAAATGAATGTATTTCAACATCAGACACAAACTGTGAAGTGCCAATTGCTTTATTTGATCTATACATATGCATGTGTAAGTGTAACTAAATTACTAAAGTTACCAATGTCTGTAACGTTTTAAACACAAGCATGATTAACCAAGAAATGTTCAAAATTGTTGAGTGAAAGAATGATCATGAGTCATTACTGTACGTAATCGAGTGATTA